CTCTAAGATCAATGTTAGTTTTATCATTGTTTGCACGTATACAGTTCCAGGTGAACTTGTAAACAAGGTTGGAGGTCTGGAGTTTGAATTTCATAGGTGTGGTGTTAATGGTGATTATCCAGTTAAAAGTTTTTAACTTTCAACTGGATATAGTGATTTTATACTGGTATAGTGATTTTCCAAGCGTAGCTTAGATGTGGCACAAGGCCGAAAGTATGGGGCACCCAGTGAGGACTCAGTCGTAATTGTTCTAGCGAGACCAGCTTGATAACCATTACACCTCCTCGAGGCGCCCTACATTTTCTGGAGTATATGGTGTGTTCTATTTGTTTATCAGTGTCTGTAGATGAAGTAGTTTATTTTAAAATACGTCATGCAGTGAATTTGAAGTATTGAGGGATAATGACAAGGAAACATACGTGTTATATTTAACGAAACATGACAATGAATTTATTTGCAAATTAACACTTCCTTTTTAGTGTTGGCGGTGTTTAATTTTTGTAAGAACAGTTTTTTTTAATTTGACTATCAATGATGCACTTGCGGAAATTATTAACTTCTATTTCCTTTGGGTGCTCCGAAAATTTTTTTTTTTTTTTGAGAAGAGATTATGCCTGGTCGATTAAGATTAAGAAAAATGGGGTTTAACTTCTACCTTATATTGCTGTAGGCATCCACTTTCATAACGGCAAATGCAGTGGTTTCGCTTTTTCGTGATTTTTTTATATGAGGTATTAAGTATATTAGTGTTGAATTCTACGTAAGCATTTAGGAATGAAATTAAATTGTTTTTGTTATAAAAAATTCTATCTATTTATCTAGGTAAGATGAGAACGCATAGAATACGCTTCCAGCGTTCGTAACATACGCATTGTTATCCGATGAAACACGACTGCAATTGTATAGCGATATTTACATGTTTTTGTTGTATTATCCTATTATACATATATATATGTGTGTGTATATATATATATATATATAGAGAGAGAGAGAGAGAATCGTTTGATTTTAATAATTTTTCATAATAATTCACCATGTCTAGACTTAGAAACCTCAACGGAATGCAGAAAAGCACTGAATGGCCGTTTCACCCTATTTTGGGGGCCTCGTCAGCAGTGCGCATCCACTACCGAGAATCGAACCCGGAACGTTACGATGCAACCCAAGCATCATACCATTGGCCCAGCGATGACGAAGTGGAAATTAAGTAACTATATACAATATAGCGTAGAATCATTATGATAACGTTGAAGAAACACCAGTTCCCATACGATCACTGAAGATAAGCCATGTCGAACCTGCTTAGTACCTAGATAAGTGACCGCTTGGAAATAACAGGTACAGTAAGCATGGATGTGCGGGTGGTGTAATGGATAATGGCTCGCAATTGTTAATTGGAGAGCCGAGTTCCAGTTCCGGTTGGGTTCGTTATTTTCACTTACGCACAAATACACTTAAGAAAAAGTATGAATCCACCTCTTCTTCCCCAGCTATGGGTTAATGATATGTTCCGGAAAGGGATATATTTGATCGAAGTAGCTAAGTGGTTTGGGCTACTATAACCAAGTAGTACACGGTAGCAGTAATCGACTGGTACTCGTCGTAGTCGCAGGTAATAGGTGTAGACCGATAGAATAGCCAATAGCGCAGTCCAATGGGCGTCGTCATAGACACTGTCGCACCTATTTATGATGGACACCAGCCAATCATATTCCAGTGAGAGAGAACTCAGGTGTATGCATATTTCATTATATCAATTAATTAGTAAGTTTCGTATCACTAAAAAAAACTTATCCACTCCTAACAAAAAATATTACAGTGTAAAATATTTTCTGGCTTTAAATAACCTGCAAAGAGACGATAAACTGTAGAAATTGAATCCATCAATCAATATCTATAGCTCTCTCCCCCGATGGAAAACAATAACATAACCATTCTTTCATGAATGCTTTAAGACTTATGTTTGTGTCAATGTCCAGAGAAGGGTTGAATATGTTTCAATCGGATCCTCTGGACAATTCTTGTTGTCATCGAACCAGAAATAAAATTTCTTATTAGGTAACAAGTAAAATTAAAATGAAAATTCACAAAACTCTCCTTTTCAGTTTTATTCAATATCATTTTTTCAAAATCTGATTGTCATTACTGTTACTATTATGCATCGTACGAACACAGACACACACGCACACACATACACACATATAGAGAGAGATTTGTGTGTGTTTGTGTGTGTGTCTACGTATGTATGTGCGAAGATTGTCGACTTGTTAAACGAATATTACCATCACTGACAAGATTTTTTGTTGCTAAAATTTTTCTATATTTATCAGGGAAGAGAGATCAATATCTGGAATTTGTAGATATAAATAATGTAGACATAAAAATCAACACTGCTTGGTCACAGGAAATTTCATGCCTTAAGCGATTATCTATCTATCTATCTATCTATCTATCTATCTATCTATCTAGCCCTCCTCCCCTCATTGGTGGAAAACAATAACATAACCATTCTTTCTTGAATGCTTTAAGATTTGTGTTTTTGTTCAGAGAATGGTTAAAAATGTTCCAATCGGATCCTCTGGACAATTCTTGTTCTAACTCGAACCAGGAATAAAAATTCTTATAAAGAAACTAGTAAAATGAATCTGTCTATATTTCTGAGATGAGGTATTATGTACACTATTTACATTATTCGAACTGATGTCCTCATCTTTGTTGCCATATTTATTACAATGCTCCGGCCTTCTTCAGGTGGTTGGAATGTCGAACTGAACCCTTTATTTCGCTCGCTGGGGTAGACTGTTCTAGTTCCACGTGCCATGTATAATGGATGTCAGTTATCAGTTATCTCCTGTTAATTCACCTCTTCAAGTTCTCCACTGCCTTAACCAGTGTCCTTAAGCATACATGGCACAATGGATAAAGGCGTTGGTTAGATCCTGTGACAGGACCCAAAGAGTTGTGAGTTCAATACCTGGTTAAAGTTGCAGGTTATTTAAAACCAAAAAATATTTCTAGACTGTAATAATTTTTTAGATAATAAGGATTTACTGATATAAGTCCTATTATTTAACCCATAGTTATGGGGAAAAGAAGTGGATTCATACTTTTCCCAAGGGCATTTGCGCGTAAGTGAATATAATGAACTCGACTGGAATTGGAACTATGTTCCCCGATTTGCAATTTCGAGCCTCTAACTATTACACCACCCGCACATCCATGCTTAGAGCATCTGTTATTTCCCAGCGGTTACCCATCTAGGTACTGACCAGGCTCGACGTTGCTTAACTTCGGTTATCGTACGAGAACTGGTTTCAGATAGAACGAGCAAAATGAAAAAAAGCTATGTACCCAATGTATAAAATTGAAAAGTCTTATTTTCAGTTCACAGAAATTACGTATAAAAGAAAGTAGGTAAGAGCTAAAAAGAAAAGATTTATGAAATTTCGAAAAGAACGCGCTGATCTTTTAGGAGTTGAAGAGATTATTTTTTCAAATTGTATATATAATTTGAGCAAATCGTTCTCTACGTGGGTTGGTCAGCAACAAGAATTTGCTGAACCATTCCTGTCTAATTTTTTTTCAAAAATATCTTCTGGAAAACAGAAGAAAGGTTCCAGTTGCTTTTGTTAAAACCATGTTTCTGACACTGAAAAATTGGCGATAAGTAGTCGAAAACTGTTGTCGACTTCGCCGCTTTTTTGTCACTATCAGTCATAGTTTTGACAATATATCATTTAATAAAATCACTCCTTAATATGGTTAACCTCTTGTCACTCCGCTGCGTCCTGCCTGGTTGATATCTTCACAAAGCTCTTACCAAGTGGAATTTAAGGATAAAATAATTTAACCTTTCCAACAAACATCGTTTTACAAAATACGATAACTTCAGCTTATACAGCAGATAAAGGAATAAATTAATTGAAAAAAATGAAAACTTTTGCGAAGTATAAGAAATGAGAAAGAAATAGCAAAATGAAAAACCGCATGCTTAATGTATAAAATTAAAAAATCTTATTTACAATTCACAGAAATGGCGTATTAAAGAAAGAAGGTAAGAGGTAAAAAGAGAACAACCCCCAAATTTCGAAAGGAGTTTAAGTGATATGTTTTCAAATAGGGTAAAAATTGGCAAAAACTCCACTAGTCAGTTTTATTCAATATCTTGCTTCAAAATCTGATGTTCATTGCCGATGCTGCTCTGGTTGTTGTGTTTTGAATAGCGTTGCAAACAGTGATCGATATTCGTGTTCTGATTAGCGTTACAAACAATGATCGTTGTTGTAGTTCTATAAAGAAATGCATGAATCAAAAAATAATTATACTGTCACGGTGCCGGGTTCAAAAACAAATTAATTATAGTGTCTAAAATAATTATGATAAAATAATTATACCAATTATAATTAAAATTAATTCACTCATTCTAAACCAATGAGAATCGACCTATCAACCCCGGCTATATTTATATATTTCACCCCAAGCAAGGTGGGAGTGTCACTAGCACGCAAGGGGTTACAGACAGTGAAAGTAAAAATAAAAAGGGGTGTTTGAGGAAAGGATAAAGAGAAGGCCGGGGATCAAGATCAAGTTATCAGAAAATGCCGATTCACATTACATTTAAATTTTAGAAGATTATAGTTATCAGGGAAACAAGTAAGAGGAAGGGAGTTCTACTGTCCGGAAGTGCCAGAGAAGAAGCTGTTGGAGTAGAAGAGACATTTGTGACATTTAACTATTTCGACAGTAAAAGGGTAGGACCGAGATGACGACCTAGAAGCACTCTTAAAGGGTTACAAAGCAAGACAAATGACGAAATAGTACATAAATAGACAAATACAAATATCGAAAAGTGTGTTAATTTTAGAGAAAGATAACAGAAACAAAAAAAAAATGAAAATATAAATCGGGATTTAAATCTAATATACTCTGAGATTTTGAAGTCATTATTTAACCTACAATAAAATAATTTATACTGCCATTTTGACAGTAATAACACCGGTACTATTAATTGATAAAAAATGAAGGAGATTAGAAAATACAAAATTGATTATTACATTTATATTTATTTGTTGCAATCATATTTGTTCAAAACTGTTTATGTCCATTTGTTTAATATTTTACTTACGTTTTTAGCTCAGTTTAATCTCTTAAGTACTCAAAATGTCCTTCTTCGACATTGCAACATTCCTGAAACGTCTGCAGAACAATATGACACACAGCACGGCACAAATCACGATCTGCATCAATTTTAATAAATACTTCTGAGATGTGCTCTTTTAATTCGTCCACTGTGGAGGGATTTCTCTGCTAAACCTAGTTATTTACTACACCCCCCACCAACCAAAAGAAATCATTGGTGTTAGGTCAGGTGAGCGTGGTGGCCATTCGATGCTTCTCCTTCTTCCAAATCAACGATGTGGAAAGGTTTAGTTAAGGTAATCCCTTATTGCCAAAGCCTAATGGGGAGGTGTTCCATCTTGAACAGTTCGGCGAAGTTAGATCTAAAACCTGAAAAAATATAGTGAAACAACTGTAAGCCTACTTTTGGCTCACCCTGTCATATAACTTCAAATAAATATAATAACCATAGCAGAATTAGTAAAGAATATAAAGAGGCAATACTTTAACAAAGTTTGTTCAACATTTTTACAGCTTACGACCATATCGTACGATACCGAAATTAAATAATGTCTCTCCAATGACTTTCCGAAAAAATCATATCAATTCACAGGTAATAAAAGAAAATGTTATGTGGAGAGCCATGGGCAGTTGGATGTAATGGCTAACAAGCTTGTCTCGATAGCTGTCTATATTTCTGAGATGAGGTATTGTAATTATTTACATAATTTACATTGTTCGGACTTCTGCCCTCATCTTTATTGCCATATTCACGACGTTTCGACCGTTATACGCTCCAGTTTTCTTCAGGATCTGTCTATATTTCTGAGATGAGGTATTGTAATTATTTACATTGTTCAGACTTTTGTCCTCATCTCTTCTTGCCATATTTACGAAATTTCGGCCGTTGTATGCTCCGACCTTCTTTAGGTGATTGGAATTTCGAACTGAACATTGTATTTCGTCCACCGGGTTATATTGTTCTAGTTCCACGTGCCATGTCTCTTCTGCATGTTTCAGTTATCTCTCTTTAACTCAAGTTTTCTTTTCTTTTTTTTTGTTCTCCACTGAAGTAGCGTTGATTGGATCGAGTGACTTGACGCAAAGAGCTGTGAGTTCAGTACCTGTCTACTACTCTATCGAAACGTGACTCAGTGGGCGTCTGCAGCAGGCATACACGGAAACTAGCAACCAGGCATGAATAAAATAAAAATGATCGTAAACGTCATGGAATTTCGTCGTGGTTATACGAATTTATCGGGGATGGGGAGACAAAGATTTGAGGATGAATGAAACTGAAATAGTTCAAGAAATACTAGTTTAGACCCCCCCCACTTCCTATTTCTTTGTTGTTAATGTGCATTGAACCCTAACGAAAGGAAGAAAGAAAGTAATGGCACAGGTTTTTAAACATTTAAAGTACGTTACCCGAGCGCAAACGTAGACATTCCAAGCAAATTGTGCCCTGTTCGTGAGGAAGAGAGAAAGAAGTGACTATATCAAGTGTCGAATGTTATTAAGGTATGAAAAGATGTTGGGGAGAAAAGAAAAAAAAAAGATTTCACTGGGGCTGAAAACGACTTTTCTAAGAATATGAGTAACATGGGTAGAAGCTGTCGGTGACACATTACTTGAAAGGGGACATTGTTAAGGCGATCTTTTAGTCACCCACATCGGAAATGACACGGTACATCTTACACACAGAGACGCACACACATTTGTGCGTTAAGATACATATACAAAGTGCGATGGTTAAATTGTCGCCATTTTATATTTTAATTTCGCGCACGCGCGTTGTTTGTTTTTCTTTTATTTTGTCGGCTGCACAGGGTCAGTTGAGCTCCGTCTTTGAGAAAACGAGCACCATGACGCAATTCACTCCGTCAGAAATTTGGAAATGTCATGTTGTACTGTTTGGAATTCGCGCCGGGAGCTCCAATACGAACACTTCAAAGTGTTTGGGTGTCAATCTGAGGACAGTGCAGAGAATTTGGAAAGAGTTGGATAAGTACTCACGACCACAAGGCTTTTTGACTTTCAATGATAACACTTAGTGCCAAACCTTGGTATGTTTTAGAGTGAACTCGGTACATATTGGGGTTACTACAGATGAACTGTTCTTAGATCAAAGGTTCCTGATGGACATTAAATTAGATTCAGATGGGTGTGTGTGTGTGTGTGTGTGTGTGTGTGTGTGTGTGTGTGTGTGTGTGTGTGTGTGTGTGTGTAAAGAGAGAAAAGAGAGAGAGTCACACGAACAATATTTTCCCCACCCATATATTTATATATAATGTATGTAAATGAAGTCCTAAAGGACGAAACACGTCACACGAAAACATTTTTTCCACTTTGTCATACATTTTTCCCCCACCCATATATATA